CAAAGGCAGAAAATACTGTTGTAAAAAAATAGAAAAAATAAAAAATAAAAAGCTTTTCAAGATAAAGATAAAAAAGATAATACAATATTTTTTTTATTTTTCTTGTAAAAAAAATACAAGGTAATATAACAAGTATTTCTTGCAAAAAATAAAACAAAAGGCATAAAAAAATAAAATGTACTTTGGCAGCATCATTTTTTTATTTTTCTTGTAAAAAAATAAAAACTAATACACCAAGCAAAAAAAAATGTAGTACAACATCTTCTTCTTTTATCAAAAAAAAAAAAAAAGATAATCAACAAGTATCATCTTTTTCTTGTAAAATATTTCTTGTCAAAAAAATAAGTATTTCTTGTCAAAAAAATAAGTATTCCTTGTCAAAAAATAAATAAAAAGTATTTCTTAATACAACCTAAGAATAAATGGTCTAATTCTATTTTTTATTTCTTGTCAAAAAAATAAAAAGTATTTCTTAATACAACCTAAGAATAAATGGTCTAATTATATTTTTTATTTTTATAACATGATGGTCTTTAACATAAATTTAGTAATATTAATTTAAAGATAGGATTCATACAATAAGGCCATTTGAGATCTCTCTCTTTCTACTAACAATCTCTTCTACTAATTTATTCTAGAAACTTAAAAAATTAAAAAAAAATTGGTACGTATTCTAATAATTTCTACATTGATAACCAATTCTTTTATTTTATTTATTAATTTTTATATTATAAATCATATAGTATACTATTTTTCTTACAGTTGTCAATAATGCATTTTAAATTAGATGATATTATAAAATATTTTGGATTTGTTATTATTTATATAATAAAATAATTACAAAATATTATTGGTATATAATATTATAGTTAGGGAGATTGTAATAATTTGGGTTTTTTTAGCTGATTAGGGTTTTCCGCCAATTCGAGATTTTAGTGGCCAATTTTTCATCGATTTAGTCAACTCTTTATTGTAGTCCATATATGATTATATACTTAATACATGATAATTCTATGATTTCTTTTGTGTGATGTAAATTTAATGGTCAACAGAAGTTCATACAAGGAAAGAACATCTCAATATTCATAAATTGATGAAAACAATTAAAGTTAATAATGTAGTACCCACATTTCTTATTGGATTCCTAAAAAACAATATTTATAATGAATTTTAATAATTTTTTTGAATATTTTTTAAGGCTTAATCCGAGTGCTTCGACCTTATTCTCGATTTGGATCGTCGATTCACCGATTCGAATCGGTTTTTAGGATGTCTAATTCGAGTCACCGATCCATTTTTTAAACCACTGGCTTATACAGTAGAAGATCGGCAACTTGTAGGAAGCTCACCTTATTTTATATTTTCCCTTTCTCTAGGAGGATGCCGAGGGAGAGAGAGGGGTTCTATACAAAATCGGAGTCGATGTTAACAAATTAGAGGAGGGGACAAAAGGCTCTAGGACTACATGTAGAGGGAGATACATGAGAGAGAACCAATGCCCACCAAGGCTTTGAGAGACAGAGAGGCCAAAGCCAGAGAAGCAAATCTTTGCACTAGAGAAGAGAGAATGAGAGGGAGTGAGAGGGGCCAAGGCAAGCGGTGGAATCGGGTCGGGCGGGGTCCAACGTGAATAAAAGATATGGGATTTGGACTCGGACCGAACTGGATTTGGTCCCAGACCCGACTAAAAAAAATTTTAAAAAATTATGTATTTAATTATGTTTAAGTATATTTTATAGAAACTTTTTTCATGCAGGCTGGACCGCATTTCTACGTATACGGTCCAGAAAGTGTGAAGCATCCATCTTAAAGATGGATGCAAGTAGGTGTTCCATCTAAAAGCAATGGAAACTAACGGTCTAAATATATTTTTACTAAAATTATTATTTTTAGTTCTTAAAATTTATTTATTTTTTCATATTCATGATCTCTATGGTAGAGATTAAATGTCCTTAAAAATTAACTCTTAAAATCTATCTCAAAAATAGATTTATTAAGATGCCCACATTTCTACATATGCGGGTTTAGCCACATAGAAACCGGATCCATATTTTATATATTGAGACCCAAAAAATAATACCGGACCGAAACCTAAATAGCGTTAGGGTCCAAAATTTAGACCTGGACACAACCCGTCAGGTTCAATTTTTAGACCCATACCCGGACTTAGACCGGATCTACGTCTCGGTCCCGGGTCGAGTCAGGGTCCATTACCACCCCCAACTAGAGGGGGGGAGAGAGGCGAAGACAGGCAACGACTTCTTCTCAGGAGAGAGAGAGAGAGAGAGAGAGAGAGAGAGGACGACGACGACGACGCGTCTACGTCGTCGTTCGTACGTAACTACGAACGACGTACGACGGACGGCGTCCGACCGACCGACCGACCGTAACGACGACGACGACT